AAAAGTGGCACCCTGCACTGTATTTTGGTATGGATAGTTAGAATATTTTTAGTTCAGTTGTGACAGTTTCGAAAAGGTGCGATTTTTCGAGTAAAATCTTTAGTTTGATCATTGCTCACTATCTGAAGATGTTCCGTTTGGACTAACTGCTTTTCAAAAATCAAATTTTAAACGAATGTTTTTATTGGAAACATGAATTGATTATACGAGAATATTTGTAAGATTATTTATTTGACACTAATTCCCATCATCGAAATGTTTTCTTAAATGGTGTTCGCTTGTGAGCCTCAGCTATTGCAGAGTTGGAACCGTTTGAAAAAAACGCAATCGGATCGAATCGGCTGTTAACGGCTGATTAAAAAGTTTTTCTAAATCGGTAAAAAGCGGTCTAAAAAAGTTTGATTATTTTCTAATGATATTTGTTTTTCAGTGGTCTATGCCACTAAAACACACAGTGTGTCCTTGTAACCGTCTTTCAAGAGATGGAAATATAGGCACTTGTCAACACCAGGCTTCGAAATGTGTCAAAGCTTCCAAGTCGACATCGAAAAGCTAATGAAAAAGTCCAACTAATTATATTTTTGTTCATTTTGCTCCATTTTGTCTGATGGAGATGCCTTCGACGTTGAAATATGACAATGAGAATAAGATACTCATATACACACTTTCACAACACGAACAGTTCTGACTGATGTATTTCTTTATACTATTTTGTGGACAAGGCAGAAAAAATAAAGAAAAATGAATAAGTCGTAACTAATTACTATGTGTTCATAAATACATGTATATGCCTAATTACTCGTTGAATGCATAGCTGAATTTTCCTTCAAACCCTCCTTAAAACTATAGGTGTTCTTAGGCGAAAGTAACGTCAGTTTTGTTTCTGCTATTGAAATTTACACGAAAAAAAGCAAAGTTTTTTTTTGCTGAAAAAGTGATTTGAAAAGAAGGAAAACCCTAAAAACGTTTTATAAAGATAAATCGGTAGAAAAAAACGGTAAAAAACGGCCGGTTGAAAAGTTTAATCGGGTCGGGTCGGCCGTTAATGGCCGATCCGATACCGATTTACCGATCCGGTTCCAACTCTGAGCTATTGTATGTAATAACTCAAAGTAAACGTTTGGTTCAACCAAAAAATGAACTGCTGATGACTAAAAGCATACGCATTCTGTTAAATGGTCAAAAGGTCATTTACTAAAGAAATCTACAACAGCTCAATGCAGATTTGATTTATAAACTCTTGGATTTGCTTCGAACTTTATCTTTTATCATAACCGTTCATGTTTAAGGTATTACCATATGAATTGCTTACACGACCAAAACTTAACTGATTCAACGGTAGTATCAATCATATATCACTCCAAGGTTGAAAACAGTATACTAATTTTTCCAATCTTTCTTTCATCTCCTTCAGACTCACTCACGTTTTTTAATCATTTTTAATTGATGACAAAAAAACAGCCACTCAAAAACCAATGGTAGTCAAAAGAGATGAGAAATGTTTTATCCCTTTATACCCTAAAACATAAAATTAATGAATATAAATCTCAACATTTCTCCTCTCCGTTTTTGAGGAGAACTTTGATACCACTCGAGTTTTCTGTTGTCTTATACAAGTAGGAAGTACGGTTTTTAATTCTAGGTATATACGGTGTATTGTCGATAAAGGGCTACGTTTGTATCATGGCTGTTGCCCGAAAAAGAACTATTGTGGTACACTGTATAACACTTCTGAAAGCGGTCGGATGAAAGAATCAACTTTTTTTTGCGTGGATGGACAAAATGTTTATTCCTCAGAGAAAATCTATTCGCTGGCCACCAATTCTTATAATAGATAATCATTAGTCTCATCGGTCATGCTGAACAATAAAATTTACTTTGGATAATGACTCATATATTGGTATTACCACCTCATACAACACACGCATTATAGCCATTAGGTGTTTATACATTAAAAAATTGTTAAAACAGAATTATGTCGCATATTAAATGATTATTGCTAAAAAACGAGCGCAAGCAGAGTTAATAAAAGTGTATTATCCAAATAATTGTATGAAAAGGCTTCATGTCCAGCTCATTATGTGGGAGGATTTGCTAAAGCTGGTTGGTATACAACCTTTCGATAAGCGAGCACTTTCTAAAGAAAAAAGTCGAAAGTCTCCACCTTCGTCAAGCATATATTTTGTTTGTTCATTATCAATAGAATATTTGTTACCAGCATTGACGATAACACAAGCAATAAAAAAATCCACTAATTATCCGACTGCAATTAAGCCATTAGGACGATCACAATCAGAATCAAGTTTCTTATTTACAAGCTCTGGGCCTACGTCATCAACGAATTCAACTAATTCTATTCCATTATCAGCAACAACAGGTTCAACACAATCAACTATTTCAATATTACCCTTTCAATCATATTCTAATCAAGCATCATCAAATCATTCTGCGTTGCGCCTGTCAAATACTTCATCATTAACAAGAAAGTCATTGTCCATTTTGAATCCATCTGAACGAATTCTCGGTAAATGTGGAGAAATTCTCTGAAACAGACCGATCAGACATGAGAAACTCTGTTCATAGGTCACTCATCGTCTCATATTAATATTCGTGATTCTTATTGTGTCTCTTCGCCTTCAATATTTTCTGTGAATAGTTAGCTACTCTTCTAACTAGTAAATTGTACCTCTCTGTGTCTTGTATGATATTTTAGCAAACAACAGATTTCTCAATCCAAGGTGCAATCAGTGGTGCCGTTCAACAACATCTGACACCAATAAAAACACGTAACACAAAATGAAAACAATGATTGCCAGAAGCCAGAAGCACCGCGTTACGAGTGTTGTACTACTCTGCTGTGCTTTGCAGATTGTTAAACCGAGATATTTTGCGCTGATAACGGCAAGACTTGGTTATATTATGTTCTCGAAGGAAAGGCTGAGTAAAATATGATGTAACCAGAATCGTAAAACCACTGCAAACTCTGGAAAATGTGATGTATGACTTTCTGGTAGTATGCATCTGAATTCTCTTAGATATCTGTATATTTCTGATTAGTCATTCCACACAAAAAATCAACTAAAGGACCCTTATATTTCATGTTTGGTGTCGTTTCTATGGTCATCGCACATGTATTTTTAGTTAGCATAGGGAGCGCTTTCTGTCACCCGCTTTGCGCTAATTCTATAGAAATATGTTGAATTCGAAAGTTGCATTTTTTCATATGGCGCCGACTCTTTGCTGGCTAATTAAAACTTGGCGCTTAGATTTTAATTAGCTTCATTTCAGTTTTAAATTGGACCTGAATTTAAAAGATCACGGAAAAAACATGCTTTGGATCACGGTTGGCTGAATTGTGAAAAAAAACATGGAAAAGATCCGGGTTACGAAAATAAAAATCTTTTATGCCAAAAACATTAATTTGATCACGGGAAAAAATCTAATTAAAGCTATGTTACGAAAAACATCGTTTAGATCACGGAATTGTTCTAATTGTATAAACTCTTCTCATTTTTCATTTAATTCATACTAGTTTTCTGATGGCTCTTTCTTGTTGCCTATACTCAACGGCACTTTTTATTTTTGAATCTATCGATAAATCGAGATGCAAAACTTTCACAACCTTTTTAATCTGTAATGGTGTCAAGCCATTGTCAGCCATATCGCGAATATTATGCCGCAGAGGAGAGGAGAAACGAGTTGTATCAGCACGTAGTTCATGATTATGTGACGAGAAATAAAATGCTTCATACGAAACTTACAAACATTATGACTTTTGATGAATGATAAAATATCGTCTTTGACAAGAATTGTAGAAATAACAGACCAATTTTTGCGAGACATTTCAGTAATATAGAATTAGCTTGTATAGAAAATTTCACAAAGTATTAAATGATGTGCTGTGTGTACTTCTTAACTATCCCACATGAGTTGTACATACACTTCGTCCAACTATTTGACTACTTCAGTGTAGAATATGTACAATTTCCGTGATCTAAACCATGTTTTTCGATTATATAAACAAACCGTGATCTATTCATGCTTTTTTCCGTGATCTTTTCCATGATTTTAAAATAAAAAAAATTATTTTTCGTAACCGTGATCTTTTCCATGTTTTTTCCACAATTTAGTCGACCGTGATCCAAAGTGTGTTTTTTCCGTGCTCTTTTCTCATTTATTCCCTTTTAAATTTGCACAAATTAGTGCAAAAAACCGAATTTTTGATTAACAATAAATAAACACACACTGTATGATTCATTCTCATTCCTTTTCTCAATTGTCATTGGTCGCAAAAGCTAAAGCGTAGAAACCATGGATTGAACTTTTGCACTTTTAAATGCTTTGAATCCTCTCAATCCTTGAATCGTTCAATCCTCCAGTCCTCTCTGAAATATATGTCATTCAGCTTTACAACTTTTCAATCCTCTCAATCCTTCCATCCTCCAATCTTCTCTTAAGTATACGGTTTGTCCAATTAACACTGTGACACTTTTGACTGTTTTCTGTCACAGCTTCACAGTTTTTCTTTGATTAAGCAAGATTAATCAGAATAGTTTCGAACTTAAAAAGCTATCACATCTTGTACAGCAAACAGTTTTCTACAAACTGGAATACTTGTTCAATTTTCGTCTACTCGTCATCGCTCTTTCAGACACGTTTTCCAGATAGCCCAAAATCGAGTTTTGGGGCGGTTTGTACAACAGCTGTATTTTCATAAGGAATCAACGTTCAGAGCCGTAAACAGATGAAATTAGCTACGCATTTTAATCAAACTATTAGACTCGATGAATGTCATTGACTAATTTTCATTATTCTGACCTATCGTTGTTATTTTTTCATCGAGCCTTCGGCCTTCCCTGATGTTATTTCTAGCTATTATCATTCTCTGGCATTATTAACTTTTAAATTCCGTTTGTTTCTTGGGTCATTCCATGCATGTTATATTCATCGGACAGGAATAGACTTTATTCCATTTGCTCAATGCATTAAATGCAAATCAAGGTTTGGAAGCGGAAACAATTCCACTACAGAGCTGTTAATGTGTGAAACTGTCCAGTGACTAAACTAGCATCAATTTTAATTTTTGCTTTTCTTTCTCCTTCTCTGGAGTACTCATGCTTATAATCATTGGTCTTGTTAAGAAATTTGTTTAGAACTACGTAAGTGACAATTATGATGTTTTAGGAGAAATGCTGAATTTTTGAATCACAGTTAATTCTCTACAATTCTGCGCAAGACCGACCTCTCTGTCTGTTGTGGCTCTCGAATGGCAAACATTTCCACAACGGAAATGAATTGTCGAGAACACTTTGGGCTATCTAGTCATCATGTTACAATTAAAACTCCGTTGCAGGTTCAGAATCTTGCAGCCTTATCGCTTTACATCCGTCAGGTATACCACCTGAAAAACCAAGATTTTTAGTACCGAATGAATGTGAAGATAGAGTAAAGCCTTCTCTACAAAATGCGGAAAATCCGAACTCTCTATCTCGTTTCGTTCTCGAGTGACTCAGAAAAGCTCTCTGGCCGCTCTATTCAGAAATTCATAGTAGAAACTCTCTTTGCCTAAAATCGAATACAAATAACTGCTTATCGGTAACATTTTGAAAAAACAAATACAGGAGTTTGTAGCGCTTTGAATCTGTCGAATGACGGATTACGTTACCATTTCTAACAAATCGTTAATTTGCAAATGAAAGTGTAACGCACCAGAGTGATATGAATTAGTATTTGTTAGCACGATTAATTATAAAATTTTGTCTTAAGAAAACTTTTTTTAAAACCGGTACATCACTGATCACTGCCCCCTACCTTAATAAATCTCGTATTTGATAAGTAGTTCACAAGCTATGAGAGAGATATCAAGGGGTGCAGTGTTCTCGAGAATGAAGGAAAAAGTTGGATTTTTATCAGTAATCGAACATTTAGTTTTGAAATCAAATATACTTGAGGATATTGGTTAAAGTTTTGTTGTTCTTGTTATTGACATCTGTAACGTTGTTGATTCACTTCCATGATGTTCCTTCTTGAAACAGCGATATATGAGTTTAAAGTATAATTTTTTAAGTTCTTTTCGAAATATTCCGCCAGCTAAGTAATCGTTCAAGAACGAATAACAGAACATTCACTCCTCTATCGGTTATTTACCTACCTCGAATATGCAACTGATGATGAATAGCACTTTTCAAAGAGAAACAGCACCTTGTCTTATAGTTTTTGTTTGCCGACGAATAGCTGTCTGTCTCAACTTAATTACAAACGTAGCTTCGATTATTTCGATACTTTTTCAAACAAACTATTTCCTCCTTCTTTTTTGCTTTTGCTTTCTAACGTCCTTCCTAAACAATTACAAACGTAAATAAATAAAATGACGAACAGTGAACAACAAATGCTATATTGCCCACAAGTGCTAAAAACAGACTATCTTGCGCCATTTTAAATGCATCCTTTGCAAAACCAGTCGTAAATGTGTTATATAATTGTTGTGCGGATAATGGTGTTGTTGATAAAAATATACAAACAATCTGTAAAATTCACATTAGCAATAACTGACGATCAGTTTTACGGCTTTGTTTGTTAACAAAGTTTGCAGTGGCTCCAGTTTGTATTGATGGTTGAACTAAATTAGCTTGCTGTCGAATATTATTCAATGTTAGCAGGTCAAATACGAGCATATGAAGCGCTTCAACTAGGACGCGCGGTTTGAAGAAGGATGAGTTAGTAGATGGAGTGACTCGAGATGTGTTTCGATGATCTTTGGAAAAAGATCACAATTTATGAAACTGTCCTGATGCTAAATTGATTCCCGGCCGAGATGCGTGTTGACTCAAAAATTACAATTGATTCAAAAATTATTACAATAATAAACGTTCTTTATACAGCTGCTGAGTTTTCTTGATTGAAGTTTTGAAACTAAAGTTTAGGTGTGGTGTTGTAGAGTATTTCGTGGTGCGCCTTATAAAAGAAACATTAACATTTAGATTCTGGAGAAATACGATTCGATTTAGTTAGCTGAACGTAGATCTTGCTAAAGAAAATATTATTACTGCTGCAACATGTGCATGCGGGTTTACTAGGGAAACGATAAATTATTATTTTATGAAATGTGCATTGTATATATATATTTAATATAATTGAAAAATATTTTTGTAAAATCATTTTACACAAAAAGCGAGCTTTCGATACTACACAGTATCATCATCAGGCTAATATGACTGTGAATTTAGAAGAGAGATGATTATATATACTAGTTGAAACAGGAGAGAACAAAAATACTAGAAAAACTTAACAATAGACTTATATCGAGTAGTTCACAAGCGAGTAGCTAACTTATCGAATGATGAGATAGAGGCAATGAGAAGATTGAAAAATGACAGCAAGATAGTCTTATTAAAAGCTGACAAAGGTAACGCAATTGTGATCATGAACAAGGATGACTATTATCAAAAAGTGATAAATATGCTAAATGATACAACGAAGTTCAGTGTCAGTTCATCAGATGACGACACCTGTACACTGACCATTTACTATTTAGATGTGAAATTTGA